GATAAAAGTCATGACTCTGTAGTAATATTTCGTTATTGTAATACAGTATTATGGAGTTGCAAAGTGCTCGCCCATCTTTCGGTTCTGGAAGTAGACATGTAATTTTCTCATAGGGATTATTTTATATAATATATAATCATATAATCAATGTTTGAATGCTAGTTTACCCAACTACCCAATACACCCACCTGAAAAGACCTGCAGACATAAGTTCTAGTCATCTGCTCACACACATATACACTCATGCATACACACACACACACACACACACACATTCACGCAAAAAAAGATGAAAACACCCCGCACCGCGTGCACCACCCCGCACCAAGCCGCCCCGCATCAATCCGCTCCGCACCAAGCCGCCCCGCATCACGCCGCTCCGCACCAAGCCGCCCCGCATCAATCCGCTCCGCACCAAGCCGCCCCGCATCACGCCGCTCCGCACCACGGCGCCCCACACCAAGCGGATCTGCACCATGCCGCCCCGCACCAAGCCGCAACGCGCCACTCCACAACCCCCCGCACTATACGCCGCACCACACCGTACCACGCAGCACCGCGCAAAGGAGGTGGGGCCGCCGTGTGATGGTTTGTTGCTGTAGCCATAGAAGAATGTTAGTCAAATTGTAATGAATATATGATTAGAGCTGTTTGGTACCCCTTGTAAAACGTTGCCTCAATCTGTAGGGGGCGCTATTGGGCCAATTTTAAATATTTCACTTTCATCTGACCTAAACCCTGGAGTTGAACATTGGATTCAAGTTTTGTGCAAATCGGAATTTGTTTGTGTAAACTAGGAGCAAATAGAATGTTGTGAAAAACGGCCAATAAACACTCACATTTTGCCGCTCCGCTGCTCAAACAACGTTTCACTGATCAAAAATCATGTGTTTAGACAATGTGGAGTGATATGGAGGCCAATCGGTGAAACGGCCGAGGAGGAGTCGCTTTCCAACCGACATGTATGAAAATGATTGCGGATCATTTTTCCATTTTGCAGTGAAATTTATGGGCCTCCTGTTTGTCAGAGGGCGGAGCCATGATAACATTTCGGTCGTATCTTGACTTGAGGAACATGTGTACCGAATTTCATGGCTCTACAACAAACTTGACCTCTGAAACTCCCATTGGCTGTTGTAGGTGGCGCTGTTCTGGCATTTTTTGAGTCCCATAAAAATAAACACCAAAATATCAAATTTTTCACCAGGTCTGATGTTTGGGCAAAATTTTACAACTTTTCATGCATGTTCAGGGGGTGAAATTAAGGCTCAAAGTGCAGAATTTGACATCTCTCGAGCAAAAACAATAGGCCAATACCCCGTTCGGGGCTCAGGCCTAAAAAGCCATAAAAACATGAGGCAGGTGAAAGAAATGCAGAGGAAGCACCAACCAGGACCTGGACCAGTCTGCTGCAGTTGGCAGTTCTGTGAGGCCCCCTGAGACAACTGTTGTTGTGATTTTGGGCGATATAAAAATAAATTGAATTGAATTGACTGTAAAGCGCTTTACAAGTGCAAGTCACTTATCATTAGAAAAGTAGTCGACATCTCTCGTACTTGGGCTCTTCTCTCATGCTCCCAGTCTAGGATAGAACACATGCTTCTACACTGTCAAAAGCGCCTCTCTGATATCATTACTTTAGATCCGACCAGATCCTCTGACCGGGAATGTGCACGTTGCACGTTGCACATGCATAAATAATGAAGCAAACGTCGAAACATTTCTTTGAATCAAATCATTGTCAATTTCCCCAGAAAGTTTTAGCATCGACCACGGCTTAATGCTCGGTCCCAGGACACTCTTTCTTTTTTAACGTTGTGAAATTGACTGATTGGATTACAAGACGCCGTGGGTTTGCCTCGGCTCAATTACTCACACACTACTACGTGAGATTGCAATTTTTCACTTGGCTTAAGCTTTTAGTTCTGTGTATTTTTAGACCTTCATTCATTCCCTGTGGGCACCTGCACATGTCCTTTGTCTCTCACAACAGTAAACATCAAAGCAGCGCTGCTATGTACAACTTTTTCCCTCCACACTTGGTATATTTGGATTCTCGCTCGTTTCTGGTGGTTTGTTCGGATCATTGCAGTACATCACTCTGAATGTGCCAGCGTCCTGCCTGGGCTCATAAATTACAGCTGACATTTCCTCTTTCTTCCGCACGGCTGTCGAAATGTGATATCTTAATCCTTTCTTTATAAATCAGCCCATAAAAAGAAAAATCAAAAATTGTCCAAGTTTTTCTCTTTTTGATGACAGGACATCTATAGATTGCCATCACATAACAGCAAGACTTTTGTGAATTTGTATTGTTTTCTAATTAATTGGAAGGCCTTTCAGGAGTTCAATCACGGATGAAGAATAAAATCAGAACTCAAATGCAGGACAAAATAGAGCAACATTTAATAAACAAAACTCAAAAATAACAAAATGGGATGACACCAGCCTTCAAAATCAAACCACAGGGACAAGAATACAATGGACTGACAACAAGAGGAGCACAGGGTTTAAATACACACAGGGACACAGGCTGGACAGGCAATCAACAGAACAGAAAGTAAAACTAAAAGACACACAAGAACAAATAAAACACAAACTAAGAATGCCAACCATGACAAGATACTCTTCTGTCACCGATAAACAAGGAAGGACCCAAAAACAGAACTGCAAAAAAAGTATAGTTTAATAAGTGCCACAAAAAGTAAAAACTGAGACCGGGAACAACAAAAACAACAATGTACCAACAACAAGAGGAGGAGAACATGGTCAGAGAGCTACTTTTCGGGGACGATAAAGGCAGAGAACTACTCCTTTAAGCAGCCCTGGGAAGAAAATGTTTTATATATTGGTATGAACAAGCCTTTTATTGGGTACAGTCATTTTTTCATATATTATAATGTATATATTTATTACATTGTTTTTAGTGACAAAGTAACAAAAACATATAATAATGAATAATAAAATCTGAATTTTTAAGTATATTCATTTGATTTGTTCATTTCTAAGTCCTCTGGCGAGCTACCTGGAAGGGAGTGGCGAGCTACTGTTGGCTCCAGAGCTACAAGTTGGAGACACCTTGTCTAAATACACACAGGTAGACACAGGTGTAAGACATCAGGGTGGGGCAAGTAATCAATAAGACAGACAGGAAGTAAAACTCACAATAAGAGAAGAAAAATATATCAAAATAAAAACAGATAAATTACCAGGAAGTCCACACCATGACACTCTTCAATATAACTGCAGATTTTGCTGTTCTGGTCTTTGTACTTTTATATGGACTTTCTAAAGCGTTAAACCGTGATAATATTCTGTTGCCATCATTATAAAACTATTTCAGTCTAATACTTCTAAATTCTGCAGTTATGTTTCTGAAATTCAGAACATTCAAGTTTACTCCCAGAACACAGAGCGGTGTGTTGCAGTTTGCAGATATATACTTTAACCTGGATCCTAACGCCTTCATATTGGGAAGCTTCTGAGTTTTCTTTCTATTGGGAAATGTCTATGGTAAAAACTGAAATTGGCCGTCTCTGCTTCCCCAAAGAGTATGAAGTGATATTTATGCCGTTTGTTAGTTTTATTTTTATTCACATTTTATTGTAGTACAAGACTACATTTACATTCCCAGCATCAGTGTTTATTTCATGGCCAATATTGAGAGAGAAAAGCTCAGAAACGTTGTGGTGGTGGCAGAATTAAGACATATCTATCAAACAACTGTTTATTCTTTTGCCATTATAACTACAGAAACCTCCCAAATGGCAGAGATTTTGGCCTCAAAACAATTCATGGCGTGACCCAACCACTGATGAGTGTCACCATCTGGCTCTAGGCTCGTGGCAGATGAGGGACGGACAGGTATGAGTGTTTCACAGATTTATTAAAAAACATAAGAATGGTATTCTTAATGTAAAAATCAAGAATGAGGTGTGAGTATGTAAACAATGGAATGTGTGTCTTTAAAAAAACGTTGTTACAAACCCAACATGAGTTCTTTTTTCACCATCCCATTTCATGATGAAAATGTAGTAAAAAGCCACTCAAGACAGAAAAATACAAACACACAAACTCTGGTGATTACATGACATCTTGGCAAAGGTAATACATTCTCATGTCAGTGTGCCCCAGGGCAGCTGTGGCTACAGTTGTAGTTTATCACCACCGTGTATGGAGTGAATGAAAAATTACATGTGAAGCGTCTTTGAGTGTCCAAAAAAGCGCTATATAAAACCGATGTATTATTATTATTCTACTAGGGTTTGAACACTTATGAGCACAGCTACAGTATATATGATTGAGCACATTATTAGGTGACAGTAGCTCAGTTGGTAGAGCATTGGCCTTTGAGCCTGAAGGTTGTGGATTCGAGCCCACTGTGAAACCTTCTCCACTGACTCCACTGATGTCTGATGTCGTTGTGTCCTTGGACAAGACACTTAACCCCACTTTACCTGAAGCTCCTGCTGAAAAATATAGTCTATGCTCTCACAGACAGAGCAGCCATCCTCCTGTGGACTCACCACCTGCAGGAGGATCAGTGAGGGGCTGGTGCTCTGTGAAATGGGTGCAGCTGTTATTATAACCCTAACCCTAACCCTGTTATTATTTCACCCCTGTGTACCCCCCACTTCTCCCAGCCCCCACCTCCCAGCCAGTTTATGATGTTATTTTAGGGATATTATTCCATTTGTTTGAAAAATTGAGCACAATTTTTATAAGATTGTCTGTATCTTCATCTATCATTGAAATAACGTTGTCAATAATTGCTTGTACCTTAAACCCATACATTTTCCAAATATACGACACTTATATAATGTTCCATAATGTTACTTGCCTTCTCCTTCTCTCCTGTCTACACTTTGAACCACATACGATTCCAGCTTTGATTTATGCTGATCCTTCGTGTCCCTATCGCGCTGTCATATATTCACTCTCCCCCTGAGTCTTGCTGACTTCAGCTGCCATAAAGTGACATGTCTCTTTTTCTTCTCGAGGTTGTTCACGAGATTGACACGCTGACCGGTGATCTGCAGCTGGAGGAGGACGGACTGACGGACAGCTCCAAGACCGACACGCTCAACTCCAGCTCCAGCTCCACCACCACCACCGCCTCCAGTCTGGAGAAGATCAAACTGTTCCCAGAGGATTGCATTTTCAAACTCACCGCACCCGCAACTCCTGTCGCCATGAATCCATCCACAGTTTTAACAGTTCTGAAGAAGGCCCACCCACCTCTACCTCCTCCCAGACTGACGCCATCGCGAGCGGAGGAGCACAACGCCAAAAACATGCCTCATCCCACTTTGATTTTATCAGGGAATTTGACTAAGCCCAATGGGTCTGTTTTGCGAAATGGCGTTTTGACATCCAAATCGAATCGGGATGTGTTTTCCTCTACACCTCGCTTCATTTCAGGAGATAGCGGGATTTCGGAAACTGGGCTCGTCCCGACTTTACCGAGACCTATGCCTTTGCTCAGACACGAAAAAAGCAAGTGCCCCAAAGCTCCGGGAAGAGAATCTCGAGAGCGGGTGCGATTTAGTGAAAAAGTTCAGTACCACGGATATTGCCCCGACTGCGATCTCCAATACGACGTAGACGAAACTGAACTACATTTGCAATCCGAGCTGAATGATCTGAGACTCAGCCCTGTCCACTGCTGCACTTCTTCATCACCTCCTCATCCTCACCTCCAAATGCTAGAAAATGGCTCCCTTCCAATCAGTCATAGTTTTCCCCCAACGACGAACGCTACTTTATCGCAAAAACCCCAAAAGACAATCCTACGTAAATCGACCACTACCACGGTTTGATGCCGGACCACAGCGCTACGTCCGACTTAAGCATTCCTGAATCATTCATCAGTGTTTTCTACCTAATGACCTGATATTCCAAACAGGGAAAGAGGTTTGGAACATTTTTTATGTCAGACAAAGAAGAGGGAAGGCGTTGCCATGATGCGTAAGCGCAGACGAAGCTCGAGCGGTGAGTGTGTTATGTTAGGTGTGTGTGTGCGTGTGTGTGTGTGTGTGCACATGTATTTTGTTGCGTGTGTGTTTGTGCACGTGTGTTGTGTTTGTGTGTTGTGTTATGTGTGTGTACAGGTGAATTGGAGTATTGTCAAAATGTTTTTCTGTTCAACTTAAAATGTGAAGCTAATATATGACAAACTCAAGACGCAAAGTGAGAAAGGCTGGTGATTATCGGCAAACAGCTTTTTAAAATCACAATAAAATGTTTGAATATTTTGAAAACTAACTGTAAGCCATAATCACCAAAGGCTTGGCATATGCCGCTTTGCATGTAATGGGTCTATATCACACTGGGGGCTATTATTTTCTCCGGAATATTGGCATACTGTGGAGGGTCGCACCGGATTTCACAGGGTTACCATTCCATTTAATTTGCCAAATCATAATTGCTTCTTCAGTTTTACAAGTATGCATTTCATAAATTAACACTTTTTTATAAATTCATATTAAAGAGCCGGTGTGACTGCAGGATTTACTTCTAACCAAGCAGGAGCACACCAGATTCCACTCCTCAAGTGAGTCCAGTCCTAACCTGGGAATGAGTGGAGTCTGACGTGCTCCTGCTTGTTTTGATATCCCTAATATACAGTAAGAGAAGGATAGTAGAACATATTACATATTTGGTGTTTTTTGTGTGTTTATTTATAGCTCATTTTTAGTATCAGTGGCTATTGCTCTGTTCTTTCTTTTTTCATTATGAAGGTACAGTATTTTGAGCAAATTCAAATTTTATTGAGAACTAAGGATTGATGTTAATTTTCAGTTTTGCTCAGATTTATTCAAAACTGGATCAAAGTATTGGTATAGACTTATTTACAGATTCATGATTTGGTTAAATTATTACTAATAATGTTTTGCCTTCATTGTTTAGAGTAAAATAAATCTGGTAGTTATCCTGAGAAAATTAGGCCATGGTAACAAATATAAATACGTTACAAACCTTCATTGGTGTCACTCCCATTCATTGAAACAGAAAAAGAGACTGCAGACGGAAAGGTGCGGAGGCCTCATTGAAATGTGAATTGGGCCGCAATTACCCCAGGTCTATATCATATATTGGTTTCACATTTAAAGTCAAATTACAGAAATAAATGGACTTTTGAACTTAATGCTATTTTTCCGAGTCTCCCCAATATATTTATGACAGCTGGAGGTTGCATGGAAAAAAGGGGAAAGAGCACACTGCATAACCGTCTTTTTTTTTATTGTCTTCATATTTCCGTGACTGTGATGTTTGCAGGCAGAAAGCAATGAGTGGAAAAAAGACTAGACTTTTAAACTTTAGCCCCGACAGGAGCAAAAGTTAATTGCTCGGCGTCTGTGTAGATAGAAGTCCTCGCTACGTGGTTTATTTATAGATGAAACAGTTTAAAACAATTTATTATCCAAGCTTTCTTGCAAATCTTTAGGATATGTAAATTTGTTTTTGTTTTTATTGACAGAGAACACGTTGGCGCAAAGTTGAAATCGGCTCAACTTGTGCCGCTTGCCGCATCGCGCCCCGTCTGTCATGTCAAGGGCTCGACACACGGGAGGCGACAAATGAGAGCGATCAGCGAAACTCAACGCTGTCGCTCAGATAACATGACAGACGGGGCGCGATGCGGCAAGCGGCAAGCGGCACAGGCCGGCGATGCCACCTCCGCTGATTGGTTCTCACCTTGACGACAGCGTCGAAAAGTTGAGCCGATTTCAACTTTCTGGGATCGCGTCGCTGACTTGCGCGTGCACGATACATGCACGAGCGGGAGGATTTCACACGCACGTTTTTCGCCCGTCGCTGAGCAGGAGGCTCGCTAGCGATTGACGCTATGTCGCGCACGTCCCATTGAAAATGAATGGAGGCGATGCGATGTCGCCTCCCGTGTGTCGAGCCCTTTATCTGAGCGACAGCGTTGAGTTTCGCTGATCGCTCTCATTTGTCGCCTCCCGTGTGTCGAGCCCTTAACTCCCGCTCTAGCTCCGCTCTGATGACCAGCCACTGATTGGTCGAAGCGCAGCCGAGCCCCTCTGTGCACGTGCATGAGAGCCACACAAGAGTTTTTGGTGCAAAGCATCATGGGATCTTGTCCACTGCGCAGAACCGGGAGGACCAGACGATGCCCAAATATGGGCGAGTTCCGCTAATCCTTCGGTCCCCATGTCCCATGCGTTACAGAGCACAAGCCATTGATTTGAATAGGGCGCCATCTTGGATCATGGGGCTGGCTCGGAGTTTGTACGTTTCTTTCTTATGCCCATTTGAAACACAGTCTTTAAAATTCTGTCCAATGGAGATTTGCAGCAGATGGAAAAAAAGCTGCAGGAAAGTCATGATCAGAAAAAAAACTGTCTGGGTTAATAAGGCTGCACAATTCATCATAAAGATAACATTTTAGAGTTATCACAAATAACATTAGATTACAACAAAGCAGATGTACAGTGTACATTACTAACATCAGTCATAGCGGAGATAGTCTGCCCTTATCAATGCCAGTGCCTTCCTCCTCAGAGAACATGCTGTCACTGATGTCATGTTTGGATACATTCTGAATATTGTGATTATTTTTTTTGCTCTTATTTTGATCGAACTGGAAGTTTAGTTCCAGATGGTCTAAACTGGCACCAAACAACTATCAGAAGAGCCTCTGCTCGGACTGGAACGTAAGCTTTGTCTTTGCATCGTGAATACTAATCATGACATCAACTGTTCAGTAGTATTTTATGTATTCTATGGTGTTGAAGTATTACACTTGACTTGATGAACTGTTTGAACTGCTTTGCACAGCAGAGTACAGCCTCAGGCATGGATACAGAAGGTCTGTGAGTCCATCCGACTTTGGCCTGTTATATATATATATATATATATATATATATATATATATATATATATATATATGAGTCTTTTTCTCAGCATACACAGTGACAGTCATTATGACTGCTTTTGATAGAGCGTGCGTTCACACTTGTTGGTCTGGTTAACTTCTACCGGACCAATATTGGTTCACTTGGGGCCAAAGTCATTTTAGTCAGTGTACATCTTTTGAGACAGATATAGATGCTTTATTGATCCCCTTAGGTAGATCTGTGGAGATCTCATGAACCGTACTGTGTCCAGTAAGTTTCAGCAATATGGAATGTGAATGACAAACAGAGCCTATGATGAGTCAAATAAAGTGCAGTCCAAATACTTCCTCTGTCACGTGGTGGGAAGGAGGAGGACTCAAAATGCAAGAACGCAAAAATAATGATTTAATAAAATAAAGTCCAAAATGAAAACAAATCTCAAAAATCCAAAGGGAACAGGAACAGGTCAGAACATTACGAGACAATACAGGACATTGACAATACAATTGACCAGCAACAAGGGGAGAGGAGCACAGGGTACATATAGACACAGACACAGGTGAAACACATCAGGGCGGGGCAGACAATCAAGACAGGGGAACAACACAGGAAGTAAAACAAAAAAACCAAAGCACAAGGAAAATAAAAGCAAAATACAAAAATAAAATCCACACCATGACATGCTCAGTGAAAAATGTACGTCAGCCCATGTCGACCCCCAACAGGACCAACAAGGGGCTCTGGAAAAAGCATGAAAAACATTGATGGAAAAAACCACTGGACTTGACCTTCATCCATAGATATTTACGATTTATAAAATACAACATGATAACAGATAGCAGATCCGACTGATCAAATGGAGAAAGACATCAAAAGAACAAGCTGCTTTAATTAAGAAAACCTTAACTTAATTTGTGCTTTACACATTTTACTCAAACCTCACTCAAAGTCCCATGTGGAGTTTTTCAATAACACAAAATTTCTTCTGGTGGAAAAAAGTGATGCAAGCCCATCCATACGAGCTGCTCACTTAAATCTAACATCTCAATAGTTTCCTGCCAGTGAACTAATGTCAAATTGAAATATTTTGCTCATATTTAAATGTACATGTTTAATTCAGAGTGGCGTGGCCTGCAGACGGGAGAAGCCGCCGCTGCTTCCTTTAGCCGTGCCCTTAATTAGCAGAGTTAGACCAGAGAGACATGGGCCCGTCAGGCTTTGTACCAACATTCATTTGGAAAAATCTGAAGTGCTGCTTCCATGAAAAACAGCACCGTTAAACTGGAACCATAAGTGAACAAGATGTTATTAGATTGGAGGCATGAAAAGGTTAGCTGTGTGGGCGATGGAGAGTTATAAATACATGTTGTATAGATTGTGTACATTGTTGAAAGTACATTATGTGGAGAATGTTAACTTCTTCATACAGCAATATTCTGATTTACTGTTATTTTCCACTTAAATTGGCAAAAAAATAAGGAAAAAAGGAAGTACATACTACAACTGCTGCTATATGACAAGCATGTACTTATTGATAGTGTTATTACAGAGCTCAGATTAATTAGCAGAAGTGATTAGTGCAATGCTCAAAGGTTTATTATAGTAATCCCTCTTTTACAATATACTGAAGACAGAAACACAGATGCGTTAAGTCTGTGAATGTTACTTTAAAAATCTGTGCTAAAAGTAGACATTTTGTTCCCTGGGCCTTTAGTGGAATAAACACACAGAAAGTCACTTTAGGCTGTTGCTATTCTTTACTTTTATCACTTTTTATTTTTAAACTTTGTCACTCTGGGGGCTTCATGCTAAAACATGGTAATATGGATTCCAGTTCTCTTTACTCTTTGATAGGGCAGCATATCTTATATAGTTCATACATAATAATAATAATAATAATGCATCGGTTTTATATAGCGCTTTTTTGGACACTCAAAGACGCTTTACATGTGATT